AACTGAAATACTTAAAAATATGAAATTTTTGCTTTCAATAATAGAAATATGAAATTTTCTGTTTGAAAAAGAAAGGAAATATAAGCCTTTAAGAAGATATGAAGAAAATCATTTAGATAAAATATTTTCATAATCACTAATTGTTTCAACTCCAAATATTAGAATTGATAAGGTAATTGATAAGGAAGAAGGAAGCAAGTGAGAGAAAAAAAATGATATCGAAATCTTATCATTTATTTTATGAAATTCTGGAAATAAAAAAAACACTGCGATGCATTTATCTTTATCAAATCTCTTGAATTGTTATTATCAATTATTATCATTTGTAAAAATTTCATATCATATAACATTTAACAGATTATTTTGTTTTCTTACTGTAGTCTTACCATAATCTTTTCAAATACATACTTTATTTAATTTTGAAATTTTACAATTTTACTAACTTGTATATAAGTATCATCAAGTTTTGCTTGCATCTTCTGGCATATTTTTTGAGCAATATCATAGAATATATCAATGATACCATAGGAATAATTGATAGAAGAAGTTAATTCGATGGTTTTCTTAAGGCATTCTTCCAATTTGATAATTTCTGTTGAATTATCATTTATTATAGTTGCTAAAATTTCGTATTTCATTAATAAATATCACAGTTTGGATAATTTTACAATGGGAAAAAAAAAGATAATCCTTATAAATTAAACTGTTTAATTTAAATAAAAATTTCAATCTGAATTTTTTCTTCTCGAACAATTTCATAAAATTTAATTTTAATAATTCGGAATACTAAATGATTAGCAATGATTATATTATGTGCCAAATTATGTTTGGGCTTATATTTTTAAAGTCTTTAAGTAGCAGTAAATAGAAAAGATACAACAATTATTAACTGATCCATTTATAGTAATAGTAATAGGGAATTAAGTTAGTTAGAAAATGAAATACATATCTGAGCCATTTAATTTTTATTCTTAAAAATAGATAATTTACCTTCCTGAAAACGACAATGAACAACGATGGAATATAATGTAATTATAATGATTAGGTTTAAACTGTAGCAATTAGCAAATATCATTGGTCTAAAATTTTAAAATTCAAAAAAAGAAAAAATCATATATGCAAAGAAGAGACATTCATAAATTGCGCATAAAGTAAACGCTTCATTTAACCTACATAAAAATATCAGTTAAAATAAGTTATCATTTAGCTAAAATTATGAAAGAAGATATTAGCTAATTAGAAATGAAAAAGGAAAAAAAAGCAATCTGATTTGTTTGATTTGCCAAAAAAAATAAATAAATCAAAATTTAAATAAAATTTAAATTTTAAGTAAAAATTGAAAAATTTGAATTGTTGTAAATTATAAGAAAATATAGTTTTTGTTATTTATTTTATTTAAAGCTTTTGTTATTTTTTTGTTATTTTATCTCATAGATGCATAATGTATTTAAAATTCAAATTAGATTATATGAAATTTTTGATGATAGTATTTTGTCTTATATGAGTTTAGTTTAGGAAAAAATATTTCCATTGTTAGTAAGAGCGGAATAATTTGATTTTAAATGAAAGAAAAGAAAATGTTCAAAATTAAAGGGAAATTTATAGTTTAAAAGTAAGTTAGAAATTGAAATGAATGTTAAAAGGATGAAATTATCACTAAAGGAAGAAATCATATCAATCGTTTATTATCAATAAATATTTATTTAACAATAATAGAATATTGTCAATTTCTTATATAAAAAGATATGCAATGTTAACATTTAACAATGCTTTATTATTTCATTTTATATCTGCTTTGCTTACTTCTCACCTTAATGTTTACTTATTTGGAAACGTAAAATTTTAAAATCAGTACATTTTTCAAATTGAATAAATGATTAGTATTATTGAAATTTTGAAAAAAAAATAGCAGTACAATTTGAAATTTGGCATGTAAAATGTAACTTTTTGAAAAAAAAAATTTTTTTGTCAAAATTACCTCTGAAATAAACCAAAAATACCATTGAAAAACAAAAAGTAAAAGATTAGATAATATTACAAATACTATAAGATTTGACTGTATAAGAATATCAGAATTGTATAAGGATAAGAATTGTATAGGAATTACTGCATAAAAACTAATTACTGTATATATTGTGCATACTGTATGGGGAATATATAAAAATTAAGTGAAGCTTTTGAAATTCCACGAAATATAAAAAATTAAGCTAGAAACACTGTTAAGGTGCTATTACTTATAAGCTTAGAGTTATTTTTCATTATTAAATTAAGCTTAGAGTTATATATCAATGTTACGAATGAAAAGTAACAACACAAAGTTTAACATTTAAGTAAAATTAGATTACTGATAAAAATTTGCAAGAAAAAATATGAAAACAATTTATAAAATAAATGTATCAAAGGATAATGCAAGAAAATTTTTTGGAATAAATTTATTAAGAGAAATTTATAGAAATAAATGGAAAGTTAAAAATTCATTTAAAAAAAAAAAAGCTTTTCAATATTGCTGAAAATGCTAAAAATTCTTCCCATACCAATCTTAATAAACAAATATATCATACTTTCCACCGATTTGTTTATCATTTATTTCGTATCAAAAATAAAAAATTGACAAAAATTATAAATAAAGAAATTTCTAAAAAACAAAATCAAAATAATCAAAATTATAATTAAAAGGAAATTCTATTTCAAACAAATAAATTGCAAAATTTGATAATAGAAAATTGATGAAAAATTTCAAATATCATTTTTAATTTTATTCATTTCATTAAATGCTAGCATAATTTAAGTTAAAAATCAAATTCTGTATTATTTTGATACGTTTTAATAAATTGAAATCTAACTATTACGAAGGAATTAATGAAAAAGGGAATAATTCATTTTAAAACTATGGATGGATTATTGATTTTTAGAATAAAAAAATGAATAATTGTTTGAAGGAAATTAAATTATGAGAAGGATTTGATGAAGAAATTTGTAAAGTGTAATGGATAATTGAAAATTAAATGAGAAATTATGAAATGAAAAATTGTGATAAAAAAATGATATGAAGTGATTTAGTAGGTGGAAGGAGAAAAAATGAAAGTCTTTCAATAATAATTCCTACTTTTCTTTGTTTTTTATTCAAATAATCGAAAAAAATTTTATTAAAAATATTACAATTTTATTTAAACAATTCTGTTTAATGATAATAAAATCAAAGTTTCATCGTCAGATAGCAAAAACAAAATCTTTTTTTCCGTTTTTTTATCACTGAAATAGATTACTGTTTTACTTTAAAATATATATTTTATGATATATTATAAGGAAAATTATTAAAATGTAACAAAGGCTTAGTGAAATTGAAATTATCTGTCACCTTCAAATTGTCAATCATTCAATTGAATGAAAAATTTTAAATGATAAACGATGCGGAGCAATTGAAATGATCTACAAAGATATGTATCATCTTTTAAAAGTAATATAGTTTTCTTTTTTTTCCTTTTTGTTTTTTTTTTTTGTTTTCAGGTTTTTTTTTATAAAAAACAAATGAAAATTTTAAAAAAAAGCAATTTCTCTTAATTTGTCATCTTTTTTTTGAAAATTTCACATTTTAATTTTCACATATATTGAATGATATCAAAGAGCAATGTGTTTGTAAAATTATTACTAAAAGTTTTTAATGAAAGATTTTTTTCACTCAAAAAAGAAATTGGATGGAATGTATAAAATGAAAAAGGTATGAATGATTGGAAAGTTTTAGGTTTCATTCATTTATTTATTTTATAATTTTCAACATTATCATATTTATTTAATGCATTTTTACTATTCATAAATGATTATTAAAATTCATTCGGAAAATATTCTCATTGAAATTTAAAAACATTTTTGGATTTTTTTTTTGATGAGAGTTGTTAAGGAATGACAATTTAGCTTGGAAATGATGGCATCCAACAATAATTATTATCATTGAAATTGGAAAAGAAGGCTTAAATGAACATTTTAATGTAAATTATAGCATTTCTTAGTTGTTGAAAAGTTTTTCTAAAAAATAAAAAATATTAGTAATTATGAAGATGAATGCCGAAGTTAAAGTTGAAGCAGGAAAATTAAATTGAATTAAAATTTTTTGACAGAAGGATTTTTATTTAAAATTTTTTGAATCAACAAATTTTAATGCGTTTAATGCAATGTAAAAACAACAACAATTCATCTTCTTGATTATTTCCCTTCATTTAACTGAAGTTTAAATTAGATATAAAAATGAATTTACAAAAATAGCTTAATGGAAATGACTTATTGATCGAAATAAATTACTGATCGAAAAATTGGAAAAAAATTATTGATTGAAATGAATTATTGATCGAAATAAATTATTGATTGAAAAATTGGAAAAGAATTATTGATTGAAATGAATTATTGATTGAAATGAATTATTGAACGAAAAATTTTAATTCAACAAATGAACGAATAAAATGGTAAAAAGAATTGAAATGAAACGATTTACTCATTTAAATATTTGGTCTACTTTCGAATAGATCTTTGACGAACGGGAATAATCAAGAAGACATCTTAATGATGGCTAATTAAGAGTAATTTGAAAATTGAAAAGAGGAAAATATACAGTGATTATGAGATATGAGAAATAATTGAAAAGATTTGAATTAAAGATTAATAATCAAATTTTTGGTTATTATCATTAATTATCACGATGAAATGAAATATAACTCTTTTAAATTAGAAATTGTGGCGAGTCATAAATGATAATGTTGATACCTTAGTGAATCATAAGTGATAAGCATATTAATGCTGATATAATTCTTATCAAAATAATTATTTCCAGAAATTAACAGTTATAATATTAAATACCATGTTTAAGTATTCATTGATCTGCTTGATATGCTACTGTTTATTGGGACTTTTTTCAATTCGTTTATTTAAAATTTATAAAAGTTAAATCCTTTGATGTTATCAATCATTAAAATTATCACAGATGAAATATTCCACGGAGAAGTTAAATTTTTCTCAAAAATTATAAAATTTATTTGAAGATACCATGAAATTTAAAAAAAAGCCATCAAATCAGTGAGGTTTAGAGTATTTTAGAGAAATCACCTTTTATTATGTGATCATGTAACATCAAAATATATGTGAAAATGGATGACAAAGAGGATGACAAAAAGATGAAAGAGCAATTTATTTACAAATTATAAATTTGCAAAAGCATTTATACAAACAAATTTTATAATTATCGTTCAATTTTATAATTGTCGTTCAAAAATTTTCACGCAATATTACCTATTAATGAAACATTTGCATATCTCTAGAATATCAAAGCTAAAAACTAAATTATTTGAAAATGAGAAAGCAATTTGAATTGTTTTGATTTATTTTGATAATTTTGAAAGAGTTGTGATTTTTGTATCTTTCATTTTAAATTTTAAATAATCAGAGAATATTCCGCTGTTGTTTAGATTGCATTAAATGCATTAAAATTTGTCGATTCAAAAATATTTCAATAAAAATATTCGTGGAACTGAGAAAAAAAATGGAAAATTTTTGGAAAAAATCAAAGATTAGAATTAAAAGTAATCAGATGTAAAAAAAAAATCGTGCAGAAATTCATTAATTTCAAAAATTTTCCGGAATAAATTTTTGAGTATATCAGTTCTAGGCCTTTTTTCTTAGCGTAAAATTTCTTTCTAAAATTTAGCAATCATTTCAATAATTGTTACATAGTATGCAAATGCTTAATTTGAATTTAAATGAAATAGGAAAGTTTGCAATGTCAAAATTTGCATAATGAAAGATTTCTAATTTACAAATTAATTAATCTGATTCTGTTTCATATTCATACAAGTTTTCTTCGTTACTGCTTAATTTTCTTACATAATATCCCTGAAATGAAATTATTACTTATAATACGATATTTGAGTTTTAATTTTACCAGTGTAAAATTATATTCTTATCATATATTGGTTGGATAATAAAAAAGAAATGCTTGAACGATTAATTAAATTTACACGAAAAATTAAATTTAAGTTTTTTTTTTTTTTTTTGAATGAATTACGAAAGTGTCATACGAATTTATTACCTTTTGTGATCTTTGTTCGAAATTATTATTTATTGAAAAGAAAAATGCAGATATATATAGAATAAATATAATAATAACTAGGAAACATATTGCAATAAGAATTGCAGATGACCAAATTCCATGAATTGGTCGACTAAATTGATCACAAAATACAGTACCCAAATTAATTAAGGTATCGTAAAATGGTCGGCATATGTATGAACGATTAAGCAAATATAACTGCAATAAATATAACAATTAAAAATATATATATATATAATGATTTAAAATTTTTGAGAAAATCAACAAATTGAAACAAAAAAAATTTTTTTTCCTAAATATAATTGTGATTTAAAAAAGTTTAAAAGTATTTTGAATAATATTGAAAAAATTAATCAATCAATAAATTATATGTTTAAAATTTTTAAAATATCGTTTAACTTCTAAAATATTCCTCAAGTTAAATGTTTTTCAACATACCTTTGCAGACATTATACGATTTGAAATATCATCAATTGTCAAATCGTATTCATATGTGACAGCTTTTTGTGCATTGAATGTCAAATTTTCAGAATTTAAAGAACGCTCGACAACTTCAATCACATTTTTCTTCATTTCTCTACAAATTTAACACATTTGTTGAGAATATCTTTGTAAATTTTCTTTATCATTTCGTTAATTATCATTTCATTGATAAGTTATAATACTCGTTTGCATCAATTATTAATAACTCTAAAGTTTACAGTCATATATATAATTTTTTTAAAAAAAAAAACGATTATAAACTAACGCCATAATTTCGAGCAGTTCAGACATTTGACCTTTAACATTTGCAAATGAAGCTTTTAATAGCTCTTCATGTTCAACAATACTTGAAGGAATGACATAATTGAATAAATTTTCTTTTAATTTAATTAATTCTTCAGAAATATTCTAAAATAGTGCATTTATCATTTAATGTTAATCTTATCAATACTATATTTATGTTTAAGTTTCCCGTAAACTTTCTCACATCTTTCACGTATTTCACGTTTTTATCAACCACCAAATGGAAATCATTGTTGAATGATAGTGTAAAAGTTTGTGCAATAATTAACTATGAATGTAATCAAATCATTTAAATGATAAAGTAATTCATAAATTAACTAATTTAAATGATTTCAAAAATTCTATTTGTGAAAAGTTTTAACATTGAATTCATGGATATGTGTCGCAGATATGATTGACAATAAATATTTTCGTTCAAGTAATCGTTTAGCATGTTGTGCAGCATTTGACAAATATTTTGTATATATTTGTTCATAATGTTGTAGGGAAGATTCCATTTTTAATGCTGATATTATTGATTTGTGATTTTTGCATTGATAAAAAAATTCGCTATAAAATTGTTAATAAATAATATAATTGTGGAAAGAAATTAAAAAAAAAATTATTATTATCAAATTTTCAATCGATATTATTTCATTCATTAATGAGATTGTTTGAAAAAAAAGTGAGTAAATTTTTGAAATGATAAAAAAATTTCGTTGTAATTTGCTTTTAAATTACTACAAATTAGTATATTTGTAAGAAAAAAAACTTTTTTTCGTTTTTTTTTGAAATTAATTTAAAAATAAACCAATGGAAAAACCACAAAATTGTTGTAATTTTCAAAATTAAATGAAATATATGAAAATTTTTTTATAAATGTATGCAATTTTTTTTTCTTTTTAAGAAATCTAAACTTGTAAACTTTGGAGTAATGTAATGATCACCCGATAGCAGCAGATGATTTAGATAATGTAAGCAAATTTGTGACAGTATGATTGAAATATGATGAACGATACAAATGCATTTGTTTGTCACGAAAAAATGGTTGACAAATGGTTTCTACAGTAAAACCACCCATGAATGTTATACTGCAAAAATTAGTTAAATATCAATATTAAATTGCAATGATTTCCCATTCATTCCTATCACCTTTCCTTCTTCATTCCTTAATTAATTCAATTGTTAAGTCAATTAGAATGAGTTAATTAGTTTAATCAATGATCAAAAAAATTTTCAACATATCAATAAAGGAATATTATAAAGAATTCATTTATAATTTAGAGTAATTTATTGTCAGATTTTTTCGTTTTTTTTTTGGAAATATATGAATTATCAACTTTCCTAATGCATAATTGAATTCGAAAAAAAAAATTTAAATCACTGAAACCTTCCAATTAACATCGTAATCCATCCGATGAAAAATGCTGCTCCAACAGCCTGCAAAGACCATAAACCGGCACATCTCCAGTTTCCTTGTTGTTTCAAACTATATCTATCACTGAAATTTAACAATACTTTGATAGATAAACCATTTTTTTCTTTTGTTTTTCCTCAGAAAAAGTAAAAAAGAAAGCACAGAAATTCACTCTGAAATAAACAAATTTCGATACGATTTTTAAATTGCTTCTTTAATTAATTCAGTACTCAATTTCCATTTAACTTATTATTTAATTAGTTGCTATAATCATTTTTGTTCTGGTGAAAAAAATTTTAACTATATAAAGTGCTTCATTTAGAAATATTAAATTTTATCAATTCACAATATTCACCAAATTAATGTAAACAAATTTGTAATTAATTAATTGATAAATATATAAACATACTTTTTTATTAGCATATATATACCACAAGTTATTACAATAAGTGATGGTACAATGACGAGTATAGCTGGGATAATTCCAAAAATAAAGACAGAAAAAATTACTGCATGAAATGTTTGATTCTAAAAATTCTACATTCAGTTGTAATTTGTATATGCAAAATTACCAGATATGAAAAATTGATTGATAAAAAAAATCAGTTGAAATTTACCGTACTTTTCTAAATCAAAACTAAAAGCATTTGTTAGAATATATTATCATTCGATAATATTGTGATTAAACATGTACTATATGAATAATCTAAATTCAAATGAAGTCGAGGCAGTAAGATGAATGTATGCTATGATAACAATAATAATGACAATAATAATAATAATGATAATAGTAATAGTAATTAATAATAATAATAATAATAATAATAATAATAATAATAATAATAATAATAATAA